CCCAGTATCATTTTTAAACTTGGTAGCCAATTACTATCTGTGTGACCTGGGACAATTTCCTTTAACTTGCTTTTCTCTTGTGTAATGTAACTCCCAGAGTGAATGTGAGGATTAAATGAGCTAGTGTATGGGAAAGAGATACACTAGCACAGTACCAGTCAGAGAAGCCACTCAAACAAAAGTAAGATGTGAAGTATAGCCTTTACGGATGGCCCCTTTTCCCCTTTGATGTTTGTTAGATCCAATTACAAATGAGAAGAGCCACAGAATAGGGTCTCCTATTTTATTCCTTTCTTGCAACAAACTTTAGATATATTTAGAGTCCTTGTTTTACAGAGTGAGGTAGGAAAGAGGTCTCCAGTTTATATCACCTATGCTAGAGTTTCAATTCAGTGGAAAACTGGGCTGTAAACAAGGCAGCAGCCAGGACTTTTCCAGGAGTGACGCTCTGCTGTGTATAAGAACAGGAGAAATCCTGAGGGATCACGGAAGAAGTTTGTAATACAGTATTTTGGTTTTTGGAGAAAGAACACAGGGAAAAGACAAAAAATGAATGAGAATTTGGTTTTGTACACTCAGGTTTTGAGTCTCTTGGCATGAGAAGACATTCGTGATTGCCTTGTTGTAAACATAATTCACAGTAAGTACTCTTGTCCCAGCGTGAATTCTCATCTTGAGTACCCTAAAATTCTTCCCTCCAATTTGCTAATGTCATGAAAGAATAATCTGTCAGATCTACATATTCAATTCTAATCTTATTTTACCATCTAACTAATTTAACATAATGGTGGAAATTACTAATAAGATCACACAAGTTGATAAATTGTCACAGTTGGGACATAGTTGTCAACTCCGAATAATCAGTGAAGGAATTTGGCTTTTTCTTAGCAAGTAACTTGCTTTTGAGCCCTTGAATTTGGAAAGTTGGTAGATGTGAACAATTACTCATTCATTCAGCAAACACTTGCCACATGCCTCCTCAGTGGCAGGCACTTTGTGGTAGGCAGCTTCTAGAATGGTTCCCAGTGACTCCAGCTTCCTGGTATTCATGCCCTCATGAATCCCCTCCCCTCAAGTATAGGCTAAACTGGTTTCTAATGCAGGGATTGCTAGACCTTTTCTACAAAGGATCAGTAATAAATATTTTTGGCTTTGTGAGCCATATGGTCTCTCTCCCAGTTACTCAGTTCCGCTGTTGTAGTATAAAAGCAACCACCATACATAATATGTAAATAAATGTAATCAACTGCGTTGTAAATTGAACTACAAAAATGGGTGGCAGGCTGAATGTCGCTGACCATGTTTGCCGACCCCTGTCCTGACTAACCAAAAAGTGATGGTCTGTCACTTCTGAGATATGTTACACAAACACTCTGGCTTCCATTTTGCCTGCTTTCTCTTGCCCTCTTGCTTGTTCACTTGGGAGGAAGCCAACTGCCATTTGTGAACCAAGCCATGGAGACACTCACATGGGAGGAGAGCCTCCAGCCAACAGCCAGCAAGGAATCTTGCCAACAACCATTTACATGAGCTTGGAGGTGGATCCTTCCACAGTCCAGCTTTGGGATGACTGTAGCCCCTGCTGACAACTGGACTGTGACAGATCCTGAGCCACAGGACCCAGTTAAGCCATGCCTTGACTTTCAACACAGAAATTGTAAGATAATAAATGTTTGTTGTTTTAAGCCACTACATTTTGGGACTATTTGTTACACAGCTATTCCATAACCACCATGATCACCACATCAGATAACCAATACACACTATGATAGGCTCCTCTAACAATGGACAAGGGAAATGCTGCGTAGTATTTCCTCCTCTTGGAGATTCACTCTGAATGTCAACATATTAAAGATTTGAAACATCCTACAAAAAAGAAACATGTTTAATCTTGTTTGATCAGTAATGTTCCAAACATATTTGACCATAGATTCTGTTTTTCTGGGAAATAACTGTTAATATCTTATGGGGTTACTACTTGGAGAAAAATAAAATGCTGAATATAAAAATAAATCATTCCATTTAAAGAAGTAGTGATTGACAGCCGGCCCTTTCTCCCTGGGCTGAGTAACTGATCAGCAAAGTTGACATCTTAGAGAAAGAAAATAATCCTGAGGAAGTTTATATCTCTATTTATATTTATATCTATAAATATACATGCTATACATGATGTGCTGTTTAGCCCACCAGCAGAGACACCAACAGTTCTTTCTGTAACGTTCCACTCATTGTGTAACTCAGTAATCCCTTAACACAGAAGATAATAACGATTTTGAGAACTTGCTAAATAAAAATCCCTCATGTTGGCTCTTAGAGGGATTTTACATAACAGTTGGGCATCTTATGAAACTAAGGATTTGTTTTGGTGTTGATTCAGAAGGAGGTATTTAATTTCCCACATTGCCATGAGGTTTTTATTTGAACAACACATTATTATGCTGTAGTTTGCCAAGACACATCACTGCCTTGATTCACACATGAGGAAACTGAGGCTCAGAAACTTCCTTGTAAAGCTTCAGTTTGGGGGTATCAGGGCAGGGATCCGAAAGTGATGCTGTCATGCTGTCCTCTAACATTTACAAATTTTTCTTAATATGGGACATGCCTTTCCAATATATTCATTTTTAAAATGTGCTTTTATCTGATTGAAGTGCAGTATGAGTAGAGGTACTGCAAATGTTTGGCATATTCTTGAAATATGGCTTTCCAGTGAAGTTTTTTTCAGCTACTCTAGGCCCCATTGTTCTCTCGGAATTTATAGCACAAGAGGGTTGCTTAGAAACTTAGACGTTTCTGATGCTTGAATCCCAGCTAGAGTTTCACTGACAAGAGGTCATCCAATTTGTGTTTTAATATCTCCAGTAATGGACATAACCTCCTGAGACAGCTAAAGCTGCTGCAGTGGTTGTTTCCCACTTCAAAACCTACCTTTCTGACATCATCCATTCTTAATTTTCTTTTCTGGGGATACACAAACCATGTGTAATTGGTTATATATATATGTATGTATATATAAAGCCTTCAGATAGTTGAGTGTGTGTGTGCAGAAAAGGGTCCAATTTTTCTTATCCTTTTTAAACACTTTGTTTTCTATAAATGGGAAAATCCATCTCTTCCTCTTTGGTTTATCATCTTACAAGTGTCCGTGTATACATGAGCCCATTTTGGACTTTGTCTTCTGCTTCTGTAGTTGAGATGTCTGTCCCTATACAAATACCATCCAGCTTTAATAGTAAGTCTTGGTATCTACGAAGACATCTACTTTCCTTATTCTTTCCAGACTGTCTTTATTGTTTTGTCCCTTTAAACTTCCACAAGTATTTTAGAATTAGCTTTTCAAGTTACACACACACACATGCACACATACACACACACCCCACAGTATGTCTTGGAATTTTTTTATTGAGGTTGCATTAAGTCTGTAGATCAATTTGAGAGAATTAATGACTTCATGTTTGATCTCTAATTCATGAATAAAGCCTCTCTCTCCACTTATATAGGTTTTAAAAAATGTTTTTCAGTGAAGTTTTATTTTTCTTCATAAAGTTTGTACTTTTATTTTCATAAGTATGTAATAGTGTTTGATGTTAAGTGATATCTTTTTTAAAGTTCTTGATTTAAATAGACAAATACAGAAAAATACTCAAATCATAGTATAGAACTCAATGAATCATTAAATGAATTCACCTGGGCTCCCAGCACTAGATCAGTACCAGCACCGCAGAATCATCTCACACGTCCTTCCCAGGCATTACACTCTGTCCTCTTCAGAGGGAACCACAATCCTAGCTTCTAACACTATAGTATAGAGCCTTATATAACTTAGGTGATACAAAATGTATTATTTTGTCTCCAGCTTCTTTTGTTCAGTGTCTTATGTATATGATTCATACATATTGTTGTGTGTAGTAACAGACTGTTCATGATATATAGCATTCTATTACATGAATATATAACAATATATTTATCCATTCACTGTTGACACATGCTTCTGCTTTTTTCAGTTTGGAGCTGTCTGATACAGCTATGAATATTCTTGTGGATATATTTGGCCCACACGTTCATGTCTTTCTGTTGAGCCAATTGCTTGTATGTATGTTCAACTTCAGGAAATAATGCTAAATAGTCTTTTAAAGTACTTATACTAATTTACACTTTCACCAGCTGAATGTGAGAGTTCTGAATGCTCACCAACATGGCTTTGTCAGTCTGCACTGGAAAACAAACTATCCCAAAATGTAGTAGCTTGAAATAGGAATCATTATTTTTCACAGTTCTGTGGGTTGGCTGGCCTCACCTGGGCAGGTCTGCTTCCTGTTATAGTTTGGAGTCCATCATGTGGTTGCATTCACCTGAGAGTTGGAATAGAATACCCAGGATGGCTTCACTGGCATTTCTGGTGCTTTGACTAGGGTGGCAGAAACAACTCAGTGCTGGATCAACCTGTTTCTCCGTGTGGTCTCTCATCTTTCTATAATTTCGCCCAAGCTTACTTACATGGCAATTAGATCCCAAGAATGCAACAAGAGAGACTTCAAATCTTCTTAAGGCCTAGGTACAGAAGTCAAACATCTTCACATTCACAACATTCTGTTGGTTAAATCAAGGTAATGCTAAGGCAGACTCAAAGGGAGGGACAGTGACAGACTCCTTGTCTTGAGGGGAGAACTGACACCCATGTACAGGGATAGAGCCACTTTTCCTGGCCATGTGTGTATGAATAATATACCAGATTCCACTCTCTGCCTGTAACAATTAACATGCCTTTCACATGCGTAGTACATTTTTTTAAATTAAAGTATCATTGATATACACTCTTATCAAGGTTTCACATGAAAAACAATGTGGTTACTACATTCACCCATATTATCGAGTCCTCACCATACCCCATTGAAGTCACTGTCCATCAGTGTAGTAAGAAAATGCAGAATACATTTATGCCATCCCAAGACACCCAAAATCTCATCCAATTATGATATCAGGGCTTGAAGTCCAATCCCCTGTGATCTTTATCAGGTTCAATTGCAAAGGAGGCTCCTTGTCTGTGGCTCCTCTTCATATGGAGATGTGTGAACTCAGCTGTCTCCCAGACACCCAGCTTACACTTGTGAAGCCCAAAAGGGAGAACCACAACAGTCTTTCCTCTTCACAAAGTCAGGAAGCATCAACCACATGGCAAATTGCTGGTATATAACAATTCTGAAATTAAGCCAGGCCAGTTGCCCAGATTATTTCTTGATTATGGTCCAGGTCTGTTCCTTGGTGGTGGTCTCCTAATCCATTGTTCTAAGCTTCTCTAAGTGACTCTTGGCTCCCTCCTTTGAGCTACCTATCCTTTTCATTAATAAATTACTTGTGTTCACAGTTGCGCTATCTTTCTCAGCTTCTTTCTTGCCAAAGAAAGTTGGAGGTTTGGAGACTATTTCATAGTCTCTTGGTCCTTTTATTTCAAGCTGGTCATGCTTTCACCAGAACAATCTTCTTAACAATTTTGTGGTAACTTATACCTTTCAAAGCTCTTATTAAGGAGGTCTTTGAAAGAGTCATTTATTACTTTGAGATTTTTGCTGACTGAAGATACTTTACTAGCTGTTCTTTATCTCCACTAAACTCTACTCAAAAACTAAATAGATCTTTCAGGTCACTTCATGTCTCTCTTACTGTATGTGTCATATGCATCTAAAGAAGCCAATCAACACTTTATATATCCTGCTTGGAATCTCTTTGGTTAGATCCACATATTCCTTGGTGCATTTTCTATTTTCTACATTAATGAAGGCAATAATGTTACTAAACCTTCCACCACTACATAACCCAGTCACCCTTTCCCCAGCCTTTCGTAGCAACTTCAGCGCTCTTCCTGCCCCCACTCTCTCCTCACCACTCTTCCGATTTCACCTGCTGCCCTTTCCTGCAGTCGGTGCCATATGCTTTACGTTATGTCATGGCAATACTTTACTCCCAGGCACCATTTTTGTATCAGTTGTTATTGCTGAATAAAATGTCACCCAAAACTTTAGTAGCTTAAAAATAATAATTTTTATTGTTGCTCATGATTCTTAGGGTCAACTGGGCCCAAAAGGACAGTTGTTCTACTCCATGTGTTCCCACCTTTGTCATAAATTAAATGTCCATGTATATATGTGAGTCTATTTCTGGACTCATTGTTCCATTATTTTGTCTATTTCTGTGCCAATATCTCATGCTCTTATATATATTAGCTTTGTAATAAATAAGTTTTCCTTGTCACTTACAGTAAGTCTTACCGTTTTGTTCTTTTTGAAGTTGTCTTTGTTATTTTAACCCTTTGCATTTCCATGTACATTTTATAATTCCCATATATACACACACACACACACACACACACACACACACACACACACACACACACTGCATACCTGCATGTTTTGAGATTGTACTCAATATTAGATTAATTTGTTAGAACCAACATCTATACAGATGTATACTCTTTCTTAGATCTTTAAAAATTTCTCTTGATAAAATATTTAGTATTCTATGTGGAATATTTATCTTTCTTTGATTTAAATTGAATTTTAAAAATTACTGCAAATGATATATTGTTGTTTAAAGGTTTGTTGTTAGTTTACAGAAACACAGTATTTTTTTAAATGTTGCCCTTGTGTGCAGCAACCTTGATAACTTTTTACACTAAATCTGACAATTTATCTGTAGATTCTTTAGTATTTTCTACACACATTATGCCATTAATAAACAATGACAATTTTGTTTTTTCTTTTTCAGTTATTATACATTAAATTTATTTCTTGCTTTATCACATTGGACAGTACCTCTAGAACAATGTAGAATAAAGGTGATAGTAGCCACAAGAGGGAAAGTTTCAACGTTTCCCTATTACATTTAATGTTTGCTATCTTTCTTGTAATATGTCTTTATTTGGATTACATTCCCTTCAAGTCCTAGTTTACTAAGATTTTTGTTCTTCTTAACAATAGGTGTTGAAGCTTACCAAATGTACTTTTTTCATCTACTGAGATTATCATATAATTTTTCTCCTTTGTTTTGCCAATGAGGAGAAATACGTAGATTTTTAAAAGCAACCAAATTAACATTCCAAGAGTAAATTCAATTGATGGTCATATATTATCTTTTTAATATATTGCTGAGTTTGGTATTTTAATTTTGGTTAGGATTTTTGCATCTGTTTATTATAATAAACTCATCATATACCTCTCTTTTAAGGTCCTTGTTGGGTTTGATACCAAGGTTATGGTGACTTCATAAAAGGACTTGGGAATATTTCCACTTTTTCTATTCTCTGGATGGTTTTGTGTAAACTTACTCTTATTTCTTCCTTAAATATTTGGTAGATACAAATACTGGTTCCTGGAGTAGGGTGCTGCCATAACAACAGCAACACATTTCACATGATGTGGCATTAGCATCCAGTCTGGCAGCATGTACTTGTTATAGGACAGTTGGAAGATGGTAATCCATGTTATGGAGGGGAAAAAAATTGTAAAACTGTAGTCTTGAATAGAGTAAAGAGCATATCATATACCTGATGAGGTTATACTACACAAAGAGCTAGAAAGTTAATGTTATTAGAATGAGTTCATTACTACTGGATGCATTTGCCAAGGTATTACAAGAACTAGAGTCGCTCAGAAAATATTTGGCTGGTTTCCAAACAAGAATATGCAGGAATTCAGAGACATCTAAAAAACTCAGGTACTGGCCAGGTTGGAAAGTGCGACTGATTCCACATCTTTAATTTGTAAAGATGGCTTAGGGCAACAAATGCTCCTCAAAACTCTGCCTAGTGGCAAGGACTAAGTCAAGGGTATGGCTGTCATACCATTGTTAGGATCTCTGAATGGAACAAGGTGGTACCCAGCAAATACTTCCAGTTGAAAAATATCTCAAGGAAGGGAGTCCTGGGGTTTGGCTCTTCCTAAGGAAGCCTAATTGGTTCAAAATACTTGCAATTAAATTTAGAAAGACAGAGAGAGAAATGTCTCCAGACAATTGTGTCATACAGCATTGCCTACAATCAAATAAATAACTCGAGGTAGATTTTGAGAAGGTGAGATTGGCAAAGAATGATCGACAAGATCTAAAAAAAAATGTGATAGTTTGAGAATAAAAATGATAATTGGGCCCCAGGCTTTTACAGCAGGATATCAGAATTGCTGTGGATTCTTTTATATGTCGTTCTTCTCCATTACAAATGGGGATATTTACTGCAGCTATCCTTTCCCTGTTCTACCATTATATACATTGTGTATAGGGACTAAGGCCACATAACTCATCTTTTTAGTTCCGAGATCTCTTGATCAAGAGGAGCTATACCTGTACTGTAACTGTAGAGACTGTTATGAATCATTCATATCTCCTGGGGTATAAGCTAAAAATATTGATGAGATGATCAAAAATTTGGGTTGTCTCCCTTCAGAAGTGGGTATATGTTCTGCATGTGGGAAAAGAAGGGAACTGACCCAGAGGATGAACTGTGATGGATTATGTTACTGTTCACATATAATTCTTTCCCCTTGAGCGTGTGCTGGACCTAGTGACTTACTTTTTTTTTTTGAAGTATCATTGATAATACAGTCTTATGTTGGTTTCAATATGGGTTCAACAGTTAACATTATTAAATCCTCACCCCCTCTAGTGTGGTTTCTATCTATCAATATAGGAAGATGTTACAGAATCATTCACTACATTCTCCATGCTGTACTACCACCTAGTGACTAGCTTTTACCTCACAGAGCAGAGCAAAATTGCTAGGAGATCACTTACGAGGTCAGGTTACAAAGAGACTGTGGCTTCCCTCTTGTGTGGTCTCTCTTGGCTTTGTCCATTTGCTCATTCTGACAGAAGCCAGCTGCCATATGAACTGCCTTTTGGAAGGCCCATGTGGCAAGGTAGGCAAAGGGGGCCTCTAGCCATGATCCAGGGACAACTGAGGCCTTCAGTCCAACAGCTTGCAATCAACTGAGTCCTGCAACAACCACGTGCAAGAGCTCTGGATCTTTCAGATGAGAAGAAATCCTGGCCAACACCTGGACTGCAGCCTTGTGAGAAACCTTGAAGCAGAGGTACCTGTTATGGACTTGTGTCCCCCCAAATTCATTACGTTGAGGCTTTAACCCCCCACTGTGGCTATATTTGCAGAGGGAACCTATAAAGAGGTAATGAAAGTTAAATGAGGTTATAAGAGTGGGGCTTTAATCCAATAGGACTGGTATCCTTATAAGGAGAGGAAGAGACATCAGAGATCTCTCCCCCTCTCTATCTCTCTGTGCACAGAAGAAACGCCTCGTGAGAATACAGTGAGCAGGTGGCCGTGTACAGCCAGGAAGAGAGATCTCACTAGAAACCAGCCCTGACAGTGCCTTGACCTTGGACTTCCAGCTTCCAGAACTGTGAGAAAATAAATGTTTGTTGTTTAAGCCACCCAGTCTGTCATACTTTGCTATGGAAGCCTTACTAGACTAATATGGTACTCCATAAAAAATGCGTTGATTTTTGACCCACAGAAACTTTGAGATAATAGGGTTCATTGTTTGGACCTGTTAAATCTGGGGGTGATTTGTTATGCAGCAATGGATAACTAACACATTAGCCTAATGTTTTCCTCTACATATTCATTGTCTTGTGTCCTCAAACGAGAGGCAGGTAGAGTGCTCTCTTTGAGTCCTTCAGATACCTGCTTTCCAGGGAAAGAAAAAGTCAATTCAACATTCCTGGCTGATATAAAGAATCATTCCAATTTGAGTCATTTTCCCAGCAAAATGAAAAAATCCTGGTTTAGATTCACATTTGGGGGCAAGTAGATGAGGACAGAATGAGCTACAATGACTTAGCATTTCATGAACTCCCTATGTGTATTTGTATGGATTATCTTTTATGCAGATATATATGAATTGTTGTAATTCTATCTATAAATGAATTGCTGTAATTACATAATTCCTGTAAGGACAACATTAATATAATGGATGTATCTAGGTGATCTTGATTAACATTTATTGAAACGAACCTATAGTTCCTAGGACTGGAAGAAAATAATTTGCTGAGATGTCAGCTGGAAATTCTTCCAGGAAAACCCTGGAAATGGAGAGCTTCCACACAAGATTCAGTGCCTGGACACCTTTTAGCAACAAGTCATTAAATAGACAGGTGAGTTACATACTCTAGAATAGAACAAGTGTAATTCATAAGGTTAATTCTACTGTGATATATTGGATCTTTTGTTGCCATACTTAAAAAAAAAACAACTCTAAAGAATTTAGTTTTCAAGACACTTTAAACAAAAAAACCTACATTGGTCAGCTCCCAAGATGGCATCGTCTCAGCCCAGTCCCCAAGGACAAAGTGGAAACCTGCAGGACACAGAATGTGCTGTAAGGGGGAAGGAGGACAGTGGGTGGTGTTTGGTATGGAGAGTGTTAATGTGTATTTCTCTGTGTATTTTTTCAATCCTCTCTTCCCTTCTGTGCCAACTGTGTGGTTTGATGGCCTGGGGATGCTCCCTCCTTTGAAATGTAGCAAGTAGTCATGAAGGGCTCGGGCTGCTCTGCCGACCTTAATGGAGAAGGCTGACTGATCCTCAGAGCTAACGTGTGCTTCAGGCCCTCTCACAAGGGAAGGAGAGTAGCCGGGCTGGGGCCAAAGCCTGGCTGAGTCACACAGCCAGTGTGTGTCACCTGAGCAAAGCTGGATGGAAACCCAGGTTCGGGGGAACTCTGGTCTTTGGCATATGTCTTCCCTGGAGACACATGTAATAATGGCTGCTTAGCAATATTATTAACTTTCATTTTGCTGGGTGCTATGAAGATACAGGATTTTAGTGAAATCACACCTACTTTAAATGGCCTGTTTTCACAGTTTAACAAATGTAGCCTGTATTTGTGTTTTCAAAGTGAAATGTTTGGAATCTGTTTCCCCAGGCCACATTTGCTTAGGTAGAAACAAGAGCCAGGATTTATTACCTCTTTGTTTTCCAAAGAGGCCCTCCTTGGCCCGCTCTGTAATTATATCCCCTGCCAGCCTTTCCCACCATCCCACCCAACAAGCCTGAGCTTGTCTGCATCCCCGGATGAAAGCCGTTTAAGCTGAAGGGAGAGACCCCTACTGCACATATCAAAGTGCTTTGTGAACTGTAATGTGCTATGCAAATATTAGTTATGAGGTTGTTGGATTGCCTAAGGATTGCCTTGCCTAGCAACTAAGAATGTGTTGAAATATACAGGAAAATGCCATTTTTTTCCCCTTACAGCTCTTTCAGGAAAGAGTTGCCCTTATAAGTCATTGGTTTGACCTCTGGACTAACAAGCAACGTCAAGAATTCTTATTCACGCTTTTTTTACGATGCACTAAATCACAGTTAAGGTAAATGATGTAATTATCATTGATTGTTCTGGGGTTTTTTTGGTATCATTAATATACAATTACATGAGCAACATTACGGTTACTAGACTCCCCCCATCAAGTCGCCACCACATACCCCATTACAGTCACTGTCCATCAGCGTAGTAGGATGCTACAGAATTACTACTTGTCTTCTCTGTGCTATACTGCCTTCCCTGTGCCCCCCGCTACATTATGTGTGCTAATCATAATGCCTCCTTTTCCCCCTCATTGGTTCTTAAAGAAAACAAAATACAGTAAAATGTTTAAGGGTTTTTTTTTTTCCTTAGAAAAAACACATTAAGCAATTGCTATTTTGAGGTTTAAAAACAGACTCTCCTACTGATGCTTCTTCCCATGGGGGTGAAATGGAGCCTGGGGATGGGGGCTTTAACACCTCACACCACAGTGGGAAGTTTAGTTTTTGCAAAACTTGTAAATAGCTTCAGCTATTCAGTGGAATTTTAACTGTTAGCATATTAAATTATCATAGTACATTAAATTCTTCTTGGAATGATCACACAGACAGTATATTTCAAGTAGATATCTGCTATATAGGTATCTCCATAAATATATGTTACATGAATGGATGGATCTGAAAAATGTCTAAGAAGTGACCATGACAGCAACATCTAGGAATATGGGCAAGACTTGTATGGCAGTGGGTCCTTGCTCTTCTTACCCTTCCCTTCTGTTATGGCTGAAATGTACTTTGAAATACTCCAGCAGAGACAGTATTTTTGAATGTGTTACTTAAAAAATTATATCCAGGCCCAGCTAGTGTTAGGATCAGGAATTACTACTCTAGGGGTGGTAGTAGCATCGTATTGGAAAGTTCAGTGTCTCAGTTGTTACTAGGACCTTTGCTAATTAGCATAGCAAGTATCACACATTAGTTATTATCAGAGCGACTAGTGGCTTGTTAACTTGTCAGATGAATGTTAGAAATGGCCTCTCTTTGGTGAAATTAAAGATATTCAGATGTGGAACTGACTAAAATATTCTAGAGAGCCTTCCAGCATGCCTGGACCTGGTTGAAAAATCTAGACAGGCTGGTAGCAGGTACGTGTAAGAATGGTTTCACAGACAGTCTGGGGATTTCTGGTAGCCTGAGGCCAACTTTGAGGGTAATAATGGAATCCTGTTCCTGGAACATTGTCCTTTCTCAACTGGGTGAACCTTTTACCCAAAGGACAGAGAGCTGGGACTTCATCAGTCCTACCGAGGAAACTGAAGTGGTTTGGGCATATTTACTAAGTTTTGTTTAGTGAAACTCTGAAGTATGGCATTATTTCATGTCAGTAGCTTTCACTACAACCTGGTGGTAAGGCTGTGGGGAGAGGGTAATCCTCCAGCTTCTCAGGTAGCTACCAAACGTATGTGAGAGTTGGACAAGACCAAATTGTCTTATTTCAGTTTGCAATACCTGCCTCTACTGTTTCTTACACTTCTTTCTGCCTATCTCTTTCAATTGATCAGCCATTTCGTCTCTCCTGTCTACTCGGCTCATCCTCTCCACCGTCAGCTGTCTCCTACATCGGTAGGCAGAGTGGATTGTAAGCCAGTTGTTCTGAAGGAATCACTAAGTCACTGGAGGGAGACAGACACCTTCCTGACTCTGTTGAACATGCAGACAGATCACAGAAAAATAGACTCTTCAGTCATTGCTTAAAAATCAGGGAAGGGATTTGTATGGTACTTATTAGCTAGGTTTCCTTTTACTCCAACTTTACAACTTTCAAGACAAGAAAATAATAGAACAAACCCCCATATTCATAATTGCTTTGTATTCTAGTCTCATGTATCATAAATGAAGCAATTTTAGTTATAACCACTGGAGGTCATTAGAGATCTTGTGGTATATTTTGAGGCTCACTACCATTAATCCTGACATTTTGTCACTGGAAATTACATCCTTTGTCTGGTACCTGAATACTTTCTATGAGACAAGGAATGGAACTAATCTGTTCAGTGAAATTACTTTGCATTTTTCAAAGGAGCTCTGTTTCTGTCAAGAGCTGTATATATTTTATAGTCCACAAAGCTGCTATTACATATTCTGGACTGCTAATTTCAGGGAAAGTTGTATGTCAATTTCTGGTCTGTAGATTTGGCACCCTAAACCCATCTTTGACTTGTGGTGAAGGTTTTTGTTGTTGAACATCAATCAGTTCATTCTCCAAAGTCCGGATTAAGTCTGGCTTCCCTTCCTTTTTCGTCAGCTATTTCTTCTCTCCTGCCAACATTTATAGATATTATGTGCCGATAGGCTAATCCAATTTGAGCTGTGATTGATTTTAATTAAATCCAAAAGCCCAACTCATTTAATCTTTTAGGTTAAGAAAATAAGTGTAACTTTCTTTTAAATATCTTATTGAGATACAATTCACATACAATAAAATTCATCTATTTAAAGGGTACCATTCAGTGGTTTTAGTATATTCAGAGTTGTACAACCATCACCATAATGTAAGTTCAGAACATTTTCCTTAACCCAAAAGGCAACTCCCTACCCATTAGCAGTCACTCGCTATCTCCATCCTTCAGCACAGGGCAACCACTTTCTGTTTCTATAAACTTGCCTTTTCTGGACTTTTCATGTAAATGGAGTCATATAACACATGGTCTTTTGTGACTGGCTACTTTTACATATCATAATATTCTCAAAGTTCATTCATTTTGGAGTATATATCAGTACTTCAGTCTTTTTTGATATCAAATAACATGCTATTGTATGGATATACCATATTTTATTTATCCATTCATTAGTTGGTGGATATTTGGGTTGTTTTTACATTTTGGCTATTGTGAATAATGCTGCTATGAATGTCTGTGTACAGTTTTTCTATATGGCTATCCTTATTCCTTTGGGTATACCTAGGAATGGAATTTTTGGGTCAAATGGTGAATCAACTTTTATTAGATTTCTTTTGAATCATATTTACTCCTATAGTCCCTGATTTCCTATAACTTTGAATATGCTTGTGAATACATGAGTGACTTTAGCATTATCTGAATGCCTAAAATCTTTCTATGTAAGCTATGCTATATTTGTGCAGTATTTCATTTTTAAAGCAGAGAAGCCCTTGTTTTAGATGTTTTGTTATAAAACTTCTGAATATATTTTTTTAATTCAAGTAGTTATAAAGCTTAAACAGGATATTGAAGTATTGGTCAGAAACATGTCATAATGGTCTTTAAAAGTTTCTTATCTTTATGAGATATATATTCAGATATCTAAGATATTCTTTTTCTGTTCTAATACTCCATATTGTTCAGATTTTAAGATTTCTTAAATGGAGTCTTATGATATCTAAGATGTCTTTCAAAGGGTCAGCTTCTTAAACCGTCCTGCTGGCAAAATTCTCCTTCTTAGCTCCATTTCAATGACACCTCCCCTGTGAAGCTTTCCCTGCGTATTTTTCACCCCCAGAAGTTTTTACAAACCCTTCTCATGGCACTTCCCCCAATGCATTATGCATATATGGCCACATGTCTAATGGTTTCCAGTAGTTTTGTCCCCCTGCCACCTGACTAGGCTGACCTTCCCTGTGACTCCTTAAAGGAAGCTAGGCTGTTTGTGTCCATCACACTTGAAGACACCCATGAGTTTGCACCAGTCTCTAGCCACACTGGTGAAACCAGTTTCAAATTGCCTCTGCTCAGAAGCAGATAACACCCCATGTAGAAGCCTTTCATTCCAGGCTGGAGCTGCTCAAACTTGCAGCTTTCTCAGTGGGTCCCTGGGGCAGCATTCAAGCAACTGCTTTCCCAGGAGACAAATGTGTGTGTGTGTGTGTGTGTGTGTGTGTGTGTGTGTGTGTGTGTGTGTGTGTGAAATGTACCCACCAACATATGCTTAAGACAGGACACCCTCCCCTGCCCTGCAGCTCCCACTTCACTACACCCACCACTCTTTCCAAACAGCCCCCACGAGGGCTCAGCTGAGGATGTCTTATCTCAGGGGTGAACTGTGAGGAAATCTGGTGTATAAATTTTTCAGAGACAACATACGTGTAGGTTAATTTTGAATATAGAAAAGTTTCATCACTCTGAGTTACTGAATGTCCACTTCAAAGGGAAATCTTTGTGTGTGGAGTCGGTGGAGAGCAGAGAGAAGCAGGCAGAGACACACTGGGCTTCTGAATATCCAAGCCAGGTGTGGGGATTTGGGTCATCCTGACTCTCCCTCCCTCAGCCCCGTATTCGGGATATCCCAGCCCTGTTCTCCTGTCCTTCCACAGAGATTAGACAGTCATGGGCAACCATAGGAAATACTCGCATTTGTTGTTGGGGTGGTTTTTCAGGGTGGATGAAGATAAGAAAGAAAATCCTTGAGTTTAGAAAGAAAGGTGAAACCCAAAGCCCAAAGCTGTTTATTGGGTGGGGATGGGAACAAAAAGGGGCGTGGGTGGTGGGAAGGTCACTGGTTACATTAGGCAAAGCCCAGGCACTGAAGTTTCACTTCTCATTCTGTAAGTGGCAGCACTCTCCCTGTGTAATGTTCCACTTCTCCTTATAGCACTTAGTGCACCTGACATTACATTATATACAGTACCTGCGCATTTGTTTGCTGTCTGCCCGCCCCACTAGAATGCAGCTCCCAGAGAGCAAGTGCTTTCAGGTGACCCTTTCTGCCCCTAGCACTTAGAGCAATACCGGGTGCATGGTAGCCACTCAGTAAATGCTTGCTAAATGAATGAAGATGTCTACAACACTCCTAATTACAACAACTACAAAAGATAGATAATCAGAAAAAATTTTCATTTGACAGTTCTCTAGGAGGAAGGAATTTTTCAAGATATTATAAATTTCAAATATAGGAGATACCTAATACCTTGCTTCATTCAAGACTTTTCATAATTTAATTAATTCAAGACTTCTATAAAGCAACTCCAAAAGGAATTGTACACAGTAAAAATACCAAAGGGTGCTGTGTCCCTCAACTCCATGGCGCCTCTTGAAGTTGTTCATTGCACAGC